TGGGACGTGGCACAACAGAGCGGCAACATTAGGCAGTCCTGCACGGACTTGTGCAGAAGTGGTGTGGAAGCTAAACTAGCCAATTAACGCTAAATGGAATTGAACCCAAAAGTCATTTTACCTCACTGAGGAAAATATTGGAAGAGCTCCTTTATTCTGAATTACCTCAAGATATGCTCTTATTCTGACACAGTATTTAAAATTCTGTAACCCATGCAGCTTTCTAGGACGCCTGAAGGGTTATATTTCGTTTCAATTTAAAAGCACTTGAGCAGAAGTAAAAAACATTACAACTAATCAAACTAGTCAATTTACTCTGATGCTACTGCTCCACTGCAAAAGATTATCTAATCAGAAAGACTTCTTGAAGCATCACCGTTCTGTTCAGGGAGGGAGTCTGAGAATTGAGGGGATGCGATGGTGAGTTTCTGCAGGGAAATCTGAACAGAATATGCTGAAAATGAGACCAGCGTAGTCTGGGCTACACGCTATGGCAGGGAATTGCCTCTAGCTGGAAGAATTTTTGAGTTAAGGATAAAGGTGCTCTAGGACTGCAAACTCTCTACAGAAGAAAATGTTCTTGAGCACGGGCTGTACTGCACAGAGAACAACTGCCTCTCACTTCCAGCTTATGCCTGTGGCTTCCCAAAATCTGAGCTTGCAAAACGGAGCTATTGATCCCGCCTGTGCTCAGTATCTCTGGCGGGTCCAGCATGTAGAACAGCAGCTAATCCTTCTGATACTACTTTGAGTATCTATCTCGGGGACAGGGTAGGGAGGAAAAAACACCTCTGGGTTTCTAAGGCCTTCAAAGGTTAGTACCTACCTTCAATATAAAAATGTTTGAATTGCCTTTACAGTTAGTTACCTTATTTCCATACTTTCAGGAATACACGAAGTGTTCTTGTCAAGGCTCTCGGTTCAGAAAGTGCTACGTTATCTTTAACCTACCCCAGTGACATTTGTCATGGTTATAGTGCTGAAATCACTTCTCTTACACGTGTACAATGACTGTACACAAATTTATTTCAGAAGTTGATGGACAATAGGGAGACACTTTAAAAACAAAAAAGCTGGAAGCCTGCCCTTTATGGTACTTTAATATGTTAGACATTAAATGTTTTTCAGTGCTGCGTTTTCAAACGCTAGTAAAAGCTATGGCCTAGTATTTATCTCGACAAACTAAGCTTCAGCTAATAGTTCAGCTGTGGGAGCTCCAATTCCCCGCTTGCAAATGTTGTTGGATATCTAGACTTTTAGATATACTGAGGGTGGAGTAAAAAGCTGAAAACCAAGAAATAGCGTAACTGGCGATACTGTTACCACCACAAACAGGAACATATCAGCAGCACATGGTCTTTACAAATACCTCCTCTTTCTTGCAGGAATCTATTGGCATGTGCGGAGATAACATTCCAACGTTTTTCATGCTGTTCTGCAAGCTGTGTCTTTTATGAGAAGCCACTAGTCCGGGGGCCGGGGGGAGAGGGAAGGAGTAGAGAACATCTGGGAAGGAACACCTCTAGCCAACCGCATCTGCCTTATAGCCAACTTTCCTATCCTGCTACGGGCAGCAGAAAAGGCCAGTGGCCCTGAGCTCTGGGAGAGAAAGTAAGTTCCCAAGAGTCACCCATTATCAGCTAATAGACCAAGGCAAAACTTCAGTAGTTTGGGGGGGGCGCGGGGGGAAACAATCCAGGAATATCGGCAGCTTTGGTACTTAGATACCTTCGTCACTCAGGTGATACACAAGGAAATGCTTGCCTAAGAAAAACATCAATTACCGCTCAGGGTAGTGTATGTGGGAGAGAGAATTGTGGTTAGAGAAAAAGAAAGTTTCAAATCCAGTGTAAACTTCAGGAGTTAACACTTCAAGACTTGCCCGTCTTGCGGCAGCAGCAGCGATAGCCCAAGAAGAATGCAAAGCCTTATCCCACGCTACTCCCCAGCATTCTGGGAGTACACCCAGCCTCTCAGAAACATCAAGAATACAACATTAATCATGTACAACATTTTATTACAAAATTGTTAAAAAAGTAATACAATGCAATATACTACAAAATATAAGATCAGCTATTAAGCTACCTCCTTTGTTTTACTTAGCTATAAAGAAACACCTGGCTATCAGTCACTGAATTTCAACAAAACCATTAAATATGCAGAAACATTCCACAACTTTTTCTTCTTTTTTTTTTTTAAACCGAACTGTAGCAGCCCTCGGCTACTACTTACGTTAAAAATAGAGGTCTCCCTACAAAGAACCACATTACCTATACACAATTCTGTACAGATTTTTATACTGAAGCTAACAATGAGCTGCACTTGAGTTCACATTCTTAGCAAAATATTGGATTTTGAGCATAAATCTTTACAGCAGGACATTCATTTATTCCTCATCCTCATCTTCCTCCTCCTCTTCATCATCTTCCTCCTCCTCCTCCTCCTCCTCTTCTGGTTCTGCTTTCTTCTTAGATCCTGCAGGCCTACCTGGGCCCTTTTTTCCTGCGTCACTCTTGCTCTTGGCACGATATGCTGCAATATCCTGCAAGAAAAACGCTGTTTAGTTGCTGGCAATGTAACTCTGAAGCCAAATTTGTACTGCTCCAATAACTCAATGCTATACTGTGCAGATCAAACACAGCGTGTGCGGAAAAGCGGGGTTTCAACCTTGGGACTTTCATGCTTACACCTTTTGGCAAGAGAACGCATGATCCAGTTTTAAGACTTTTACGACCGCAGTGCTTTGGAGTATGACTGTGTATTTTTCCAAGCAGGTGACCTGTTTTCTGGAAGTAAAGCATCTTATTGGTAAAATCTCTAGACGTGTAAAAACCACCTCTAGGTTTACCGTAAGAGTTCCAGATACCTCCCACACCACACTTTTCCATGCGTTCTGAAGCCTGACGAAGGTTGACATAAACATTTAGAATTATGAACCATATATGGTTTAGGTGCAAAACAAAAGTCACATTTACGGCAACCTCTGCAGCTTTAACCGTTACTGTATCACTTTGACTCTACCTTCTCATATTTCTCCTTTAGTTTCGCAGCCTTCTGTTCATATGGCTGTTTGTCTTTGGCTGACTGTTCAGACCACATTTCTCCTAATTTCTTTGCTGTATCTCCAATAGACAAGCCAGGATGATCATTTTTTATTTTTGGACGGTGTTCAGAACAGAAAAGGAAGAATGCAGATCTGAAACGAGAGACCGTGATTAAAATTAAGTGTCAGGCTATTAGAACTAGTACTTCCCCCCCCCGCCCCGGTCACAGAAACACTCACGGTGGTCTTTTAGGAGCATTGGGGTCCTTTTTCTTTCCCTTCTTCTCGCCTTTGGGAGGAACATAGTTTTTCATCTCCCTGTCATAACGAGCTTTGTCTCCTTTAGCCATTTCTTCAAACTTTCCTTTTTCCTTGCTAGACATTGTCTGTGGACAGACGGAGGGGAAAGGAGGAGAGTCTGGATCAGATAAAGCGCCTGCTGACCCACTAACGTCTAAGCAGCAGCTGCTACCAGGGATCTTTTCCCAGCAGCCCTCAGCAGGGGCGGGGGCCGGGCCGG